ATATATATATATATACATATATACATACATATACATATATATACATATATATATATATACGTATATATACGTACATATATATATATATATACATATATACATATATATACATATATATATATATGTGTGGGTGTGTGTGTGTGTGTGTGTGTGTTATTTTATTCCATACTACTTGAAGTCTCTCCAACTAGGAGTACAAAAGTGGTCCCACATTTCCATTAGGTGTGAAGGGGGTGAAGGGGCAACATGAGGAAGGAAGGAGGAAAGGAGAGTGTGTAGAGAATGTAAATACTAGTTGGGCGATACACTTATAACCTGAAAGTGTCCATACAGCAGCAGAGTCACACGAGTCACATTTCACTCATCATGGGATGAGAGTGTGGAAAGTTAACAACAAGACGCTGGCAGAGGATTTTATGTCAAACTATTTTGGATTCAAACCAAATGCTAATAGGGAACCTGATGAAGGTAATGAGGCCATCTGGAAACGTTTGATAGGAGGCCATGAGAGGACAGTGCAGGAGCAGATGACCTCGTGGTGGCATCAGGATATGGAACTACTTTACAATAGTTTACAACAACAGTTTATACTTTAAACCTTATTGACAAGGCTTCAAAAGGAATATCAAACAGTGTTCATAATATTTAAAGGGGACCTATCATGCAAAATGCACTTTTGTACGTCTTTTACACATGAATATGTGTCCCCGGTGTGTCAGGGAACTCACCAAGTGTCAGAAAACACAACCCTCTCTATTTTCCTCCATACCCACATCTCTAAAAAAGAGGCTGCAACGGAGCTGATTATCATTTGAATTATTCTGACGACAGAAAATGGGTGCTCCGCCTATATGGGCAACTCTCCACCTATCAGTGGAATGAGAGACTGCTCGAAAGCGCTGGAGACGCTGTAGTACATATGCCAGGCCTGTAAGTGGCGCTGTAGTCGCCAGTTACATAATCATATAAGAATAAAACACAGAGGACGGAGATCTCTTTTCCTCCCCCTCTTCTGAGAGCCCAGCAGCTGATCAGAGCACGCTCCCCTCTCCTGCAGGGGGACGTGGTCAGCTGCAGCTCATTTGCATTAAAGCTATGTCACAGAATCAGCCCTTGCAAAAACAGGGCTGAAATAGAGCAAATAGAGCGAAATTAGCTAAAATGCATGATCTCGGATAGGTATTTTGAAAAAAAAACTTCACAGACATGTTTTGTGTCGGTATGGCCCTACAATATATTTGTCAAATATAGCATGATAGGTCCACTTTAAAATACAGGAATCTTATACGGCTCTCTTAAACTTTAGGTAAGCTGCTCACTTGTGTCTGCCTGGCTTCCCACGCTGATGTATCTGTCACTGGCCACCTGCGACGTCTGGTAGTAGGTGGTCTCATCCTGCTGAGGAACCTTGGCGTTCTTCTCCGTCAGAAAGGCCACAGCCTCAGCCAGGTCTCCATTGCTTACCTGCAGCAACAGTGGATGTGTCAAGTTTGCTATGAAGACATGACAATGATGAGCAGGAAAAGTCCACGAAATCTGTTGCAGCCCAATAACCATATATTTTGTAGCTTTAGTTTCTTTGGTTAGACTTGAAGACTGGCTGCTGATTAAGATAACTGACAATAGTTGAAGTGTGGGCAAAAACCCGAAACATAAATACTTTTCTGATGCATATCCGATGTAAAACTGTGTAACTGTATTGTTTAGTAGCGATTAGGGTGTCCAATAGCATCGGTGCAAATCATCATCAATTTATGCTTTTATTTAGAAATTGCCATGGAACATCTCTTTCAACAGTTTCATCCAATTGTGCGGGGCTAAGAGCGGTGCTAGCCTCATTAACGAGCTGCGCTAGTATCTCTTTTTGCCGTGTGAAAGAGAGTGTTTGTGACACCTGGCATCAACCTTATAGCTGTGAGCGGAGCAGAAAACATGTCTGTACAACTCCTCAGGAGTCAAGCCAAGCTTCGCTGTCTTGCTTGCCATCATCTGATTAAAAGGGATAGGGTTAGCTTCAACGTTAGCGACATCAACGGCCGAGGCTCACTTTAGACGGCTTGACTTTTAAGGCGGACCAGCATTTGTCATTTAGTGACCACTTAGCATATTTAACCAGTTAGTAGCACTCCAATGACAGGACCTGTATGTTTATTATTTTAATATAAATAATAGATAATTAGATTTGTATTTTTTTCAAATGTCTAAAATAGCCGAGTTAGAAATGGTCAAATCATATTGTGGTTGATTTTTGTGAGTAGATTTAACTGCAGTAGTTTGTGTTAAAAGGGCACATTATATCCTCTCATACTGATAGCCAGTTCCCTGTGGCAGTCTCTGTATTATAGGCAAATATCTCATTGTTATCCAAAAGATTCAGCAAGAAAACAAGGAGTACATGTTCATGCTTTACCTGCAGGGCTTGCTGTAGCAGCTGAACATCTGTGGTGCCCGTGACCTCCCTCAACTGGTTTAGTAGTGTCTGCTGGTGCTATTGAAGAAAAAAAGAGGAAACGAGGCAGTTTAGAGCACAGCTTCATAGAGACAAGTGGTTAAGAGCAGGTTCAGTTTTTATAAACAACACCAATGAACTTACTAATATTGCTATTACACTCCTATAGTAACATCCAGGTAAATTAAAACAAGACACAGTAAGAACAATCTCCATCTTCAACTGTAGGGGAAGACTTAAACAATCCATCTCCAAGTTGCTACAGCCGCTACATAAAAGGCAATAGAAACCAGTCAAGTTTAAGTAGGGCTGTGCGATTATGGCAAAAATCATAATCACGATTATTTGGGTCAATAATTGATATGATTATTTAGACAATTATTCATTGACCATTTATTGAACTTTAAAACAAATAATATTTTACCAATAAACAAGATCAACAAATATGTTGGGGCGCACTTCCAAAACCATACTAAACATATATTAATATGATAAATAGAAATAAATTAGACTAAAATAAATTAAATCAAATATGTTGCAGTGCACTGTCATAACCTACTGAAAACTCCTTAACACACAGCCAACATTTTGGTTCAACATATTCCACTCAGTTAAACGTTGAAGGCTGGCCAACCGTCATGGTCCAGAAGTAACAGGAAATAAATGTTGAACTACAATTTAAGACCAAATAAAAATGTTTTGGCCACCATGGCAAATGCTGGTAGGGCTGCTCATGTCATCTCTTAAAGATTTTTTGCATAGAAACACCAGCCTGTTTACATGGTCTGGTTTCAGAGATGAGCGCAGGCAGGTGACAATATTGCCACCTGTACTGAAGACCCTCTCTGAAGAGGAACTTGTGGCAGTGCTGCCACATATGACACAGGAAAAAAAGAAAAGACTCTGAACCCTTTCTTTGTCACTATATAAAAATAGTGTTGCTACAAAAGTATAAATTAGGCTTACTAATAAGACAACTCAGATCTGAAGCTACACAGGAATCTGCTGCTACAGTGCAATAAAAAAGACAAAATTAATAGAATCAAACCCATTTTTTGTTGCATTTTATTAGAGTATAAAAATAAATGCCTTTAAAATAGGATGCAAGCAACACTAGTTTATTAACCTGAATTGATAATAGACTATAATCAATTTAAGTTTGCATTCTTATGCCATTTTGTACAATAATTATAATGAATAAGTTCAAACAAACTAAAACTTACAGCTGATTAATAACGGTATCTAACTTGAGTTTTTATTATATCAAAAACCTGTTGAAATGCTACTCTTATTTTTACTGTCCCCCAAAAGCGCGTCGGCAGCCTCCAGGAATGCCTCTTTTACAATTTCGCCGTCTTTGAAAGACTTCATGTGTTTCGCAAGAACGTGACTGACACGATAAGATGCTACGGTAGCAGCCTTGCTCTTGTTGTTGGGCCTGGTGAAAATGGACTCCTGTGCATTTAGCTGTCCTTTCAGGCCCCTCCCCTTTTGGGAGCGTAGGGCAGAATTACGGCCCGTCTACACAGCAGCGTTAAAAAAATCTTCCAACGTTTCCAACGCTTCTCTGCCCATTGACTTTGAATGGGGTGACGTCACTTTGCCTCGCTTTTCGCCGAACTGCATTGTGGGGAACGGGCCGTCTACACAGCAGCGTTAAAAAAATCTTCCAACGCTTCTCTGCCCATTGACTTTGAATGCGTCACGAGTCACTTTGCCTCGCTTTTCGCCGAACTGCATTGTGGGGAAGCAAAGCGAAGATTTCCAGAATTTCCAGGATTCAAAAGTTGAGCAATGTTCAACTTTTGAAGCTGAGGTGGAAGCGTCAGCCAATCAAATCCCGTTTATGCAAATCTGACAGTACAAGCGCTAGCCAATCAAACCGCGTGCAAGCTGGGAGTGACATACCGCAGTTCATTTTCTATATTCCTAAAAATGGAGGAGAAATTAGTTATTGCGGTAGCAAATCACGGGGCTCTTTATGACCAGTCCCTATTTACTTACCGGGATACAAACCGGAGGAACCAGGCATGGAGGGAGGTGGCAGAGACAGTGGGTGAAACTGGTAGGTTTTCGCCTGTTTGGGGATTTTATATCCAGTTTACTTCGTTTAAACATTGCTAGCAAGCATCTTTAGCCAGCATGGAATGTAGCATAAAATAGCACCATAGACATTAATCTCATAAATGTTTATCATAGCCCTTCCCGCCGACACTTTACCTCTGCCACATCATAGACTATATGCATCACATTAATGCACACAATGTCATACTCCTTTCTGCACATATTCTGAGTGGAGAAGAACCGGGGTTTTTTGCTTTGTATGTCGGGGGCGGGAGATTCATGTTATTGGTTGTTGGTCGCGTTGCTCGCAAAACATCCCCAAGCTTTCAGACACCCCCAGCTCCAAGATTTTCAAGATTTTTTTAAAGCTGCTGTGTGGACGGGCCGTTAGGAGGGAATGCCGCTCCTAAATTACCCTTCTTCGATAAAGCCACGCTCGCATTGCAGATGAGACAGATGGACTTTGAATTGGAATAGATAAAAAGATAATCATCCTCCCACTCGGAGTGAAAATTATATATTTTGGGCTTTTTTGCTTCTGCCATAATTGCGGTCTTGTGTGTGTGCGGCCTGTCACTCCTGTTCACATGGACAACGTCAGCGAAATAGTGCCCACTGCCCACCAGCCACGCTCTGACACATGGGGTGACGTCGGCCAATCACAAAGCTTTGATCCATTCAAGTGCATTATTCTGGCACAGGAAGATTATGTTACAGGACATTAACGATAAAACTGAATATTGTTGTTCTATTTTTAGACACATCTCGCGATCGACTGGGAATCTCCCCGCGACCCTTCTTTTTAACGAGTTGCTGCTCTTTTTCTGACATCTTCGCTCGCGCTGAACACTCACAACACATGTCACTCCCACGTGGACGAGTGGGCTTTTAGGGAGGGGCTAAAGCGCACCCAGCAATATAATCGTATTTTGTCAATTATACTGTTTTCATAATCGTCGCAAGCCATAATCGTAATCGCGATTAAAATACGATTAATTGCACAGCCCTAACTTTAAGAACATGACATATCATAAAGCAACACCATCATCAGACAAGTAGGGATGGGTAACGTTAGGATTTTATCGATACCGGTATTTTTCGATACTCTTATCGATACTTTTCAAAAATTGGTGCTCAAAATTATACATGACATGATTAGAAGATGTGAAGATTAAACAGTCATTTTATTGTAATTTCTTTATTATTTAATGTTGCTTTTCAATGCAGGTATGAGTGTGTTTGACAGTGTGTCTCTGGAAGGGGGACAGTAATTAGGGGCAGTTCATAAATCCATGTAAAGGCCCTGACACACCAAACTGACACCAAAGAACACATCCCGACGGAACCGACTGTTGTATCGCCTCACGTCTCCTGCGTCTTGGCCAAACAGTCACACTGGAACACACCACAAAGAGTTCAGTCGACGGCCAAGTAGCACGTACGCACTGCGCATGCGTGAGTGGCAATAACTCTCCTTACCAGCAAGCGGCGGTAGTGTGTATTCGTCATTCAAAAGAGGCAACCAGAAGACAGACTGCGTGATATATACAAACAACAAATAGTGTGCGTTCCATTTTCACTCTCGTCCATCACAGACTGTTTCACATAACGACTTATAATCGAAAACATGTTTAGTGCGGTACTGGAAAATGAAAAATAATAGCCGTCTGCGTGTGCCTTCTTAGTCGTTTGTTTGCGCACGTCACTTCCGCTGCGCTTCTCATGCACTGATTCGCTAAGCTGCAGAGCCAATCAGAGTGATTTATTTTGCCGAGAGCACTGCCGAAAAGACACGACGGGCGGGACACACCAATCTGAGAAGGGTGACAGGACGCTCATCGACGGCCGAAATCGGCTTGGTGTGGGGGTGCGGTGCGGTGTCCCACAAATAGAATCAAATTCTGTGGGAAACACTGCCATATACACAACATTTGGTTTACTACAACATTCAGCAAGGGTTCAACACATTAGTTGCTTTCAACAGCAATAATAGTGTGAAGATTTGGATATGCCACCTCTAAAATGCCAGCTGGTTGTCAGAGGGAAAAAATAAACAGGGCAAAAATAGGCTTTTTCGCACTGTGGTGTAATATGAGCTACTTGTTTATGGAATTACCAGAAAAACATGGTATAAAATGATATGGTTATAGAGATATGAAATATTCCCACGCTCTTAAAAAGCATGTCAACAAGCCCTGTGCACAACATTATAACTCACGCATGGGTAAATAAACATTATGATGACAGTGTGTTTTGATCACTGTCGGCATGCTGGTTTGTTGACACAGAGGGTGGTGAGGTCACAAGGCAGTTCTTTAGACACGTACACACACAGAAACACAAACCAACACAGAAACAAACACATACTTCTCATCTCCATGTGACATGTCTGGCATGGCTATTTGTCACATTGGCCATTAAGACGCATCTTGAATAACACATACTTCTCTGCATGGTACAAGGAACTACTTTGGGTCTTTACAGCGGGTTAGAGGCAGGGGCATTCCCCGTGACTCCATGTATCAGGTTTTCACAGCTGCTTTGTACGTGCATGTGAAGGAGTTGTACAGAAAGGATTGAAAGTCCATCGCAAATTCATCTGCAGGCCATTACATGAAAACCTGCACCACACCCTGCTATCACGAAGCACTCTAATAATGGGGCATAGCTTTAATGACTATAGGCCTAATGTTATCCTACTTATAGCACAATTGCAGTAAATTATGAATTAAATATAACTCATTTGCAGTTGTGCTTATATATTTCCTAGCAGCTGTGGCTCAGGTACTAAATGGGCATCTATCAATCACAGTCAGTTGTTTGTCCCTTAGATTAAACATGGCTAGGTGTCCCTGGGCAAGATACCTAAATGAGTCCCGTATACATGGTCAGTGGTATTTAAGTAAGTCGCTTTGGATAAAACGGTCAGCTAAATGACATTGAATGTCCAATCATTTCAGCCCCAAATTGGTCAGACTGCATATTAAGATTTCTGTAACACTGCTTCTTTTAGGTTTCTTTTTTGCCTAAACTCATGACTGCCACCAACCAATCAGACTGCTTATATCGGACTAACTATTTTGCATTGCATTTGTATCGTTACATTTGTATTTCTAACCTAACTTTCGTTTTAGGAACATCATCATGAAGTGGCAGACTCACCAGAGCTTTGCAACATAGTGGCCTCGACCTTTCGTAAACTGAGAGCATGATCACATGTAACCTAATAAGTCCTCAGTTATGAACCATCGCACAAGCTTGCTATCTGGCCACTCCGCCCAGCGTCAACACTGCTGCTCCACTGCCAATGCTTTGTAAACAAAGATATCAGTTGTGATATTAGAGAAACGGTAGCCTAGAAAATATCTGCACACAAACACTCCTCCAAACTGAACATCATCGTTGGTGGAAAGGATGCTGCTAAGTTGACGGCATTAACATAATAACATATGTCCCTGTCAGTTGGCCTTGTTTATTTCACCTGAGGAAACACTTAGCCTATGAAACTAGTGTTAAAAGGGAAGTAGCATCTGAACGAATATGTATAAACTGCAAGTTACCGTTAAAGTTACCCAACTTACACATCAGCGCTAATGTTAAACTTCACGTTAGCTCAATGGTACCATTAGCTAACGTTGGCTGGCAGCAAAACATTGGATAAGGCGTAAGCTAAAAGGGAGCGGAAAGCCTAGCTTGAATATAAACACTTGCCATTTACAAACAGTTGCTCAACAACTGCCGTGGGCCACTACAAAAATAAATAAATATATTTTAACTCAACTAACAGAGAAGTTTGCTGACCAACTATGAGGGAAAACTGAGCCATAAACCTAATTAGCTGCACAGCTAGGCTAAAGTAAGCTAGCTACCAAGTTAGCTTCTGGAAGCTTACCTTCTGAGAATGCTGCTGAAGGACATTCTGCTCCACGGTCATGGCGGATTCAGCAATAAATGTATAATTAAATTCAAACCAGGGGTAGCAAAACGCAGAGGATACTTGTGACTGAAGCGAATAACAACACGATGCTATGATGTCCCCTCCTTAATCAGCGACATCACGGGCGCCATAGAGAATAGCGCAGGTCGCCAGGAGGAATGAAAACATTGCTCTGCCCTGCCTGAGCTCTGGGATTGATTATTCACGTCTGCTCTAACTGCAACTACGTCATGGATCAGATTTGTGTAACTCATGGATATACAATTGTTGACCGTATTTATTTAATAACCAGTTCAGATTCAGATCAATCGTTTTTCTAATATTCCATTCACAGTTTATGAAAAATAATATCCTGCTTATATTGTGGTAACAGAAAAGTGTCCCTTCAATGTTGTTTTTCTTTCTCAGACAGTTTATAGATTTGTTATCTTCACGGTCATCTGTATATTTGTCTTACTCTCTAATGATGGTTTATTTGTATTTCTATTTTGAGATGTTTATATTTTTGAGTTGTCCGTTTCTTACTATTTTAATTTGTTATTATGTGCAATGCCTTGTTGGTTTTATGCTGCTGCAACAAACATTTTTCCCAAATTGGGATTAATAAACCTACATCTTATCTTACTTGAGTCTTTTCATTTCATTGTACTTCTACTCCACTACAATTCAGAGGTGCATTGTGTACTTGTACTACACTTCATTTATTTAATACCTTAGTGACTTCACAGATTTGGATTAATGATGTGACATAGTACAATCAACTCTTAAATCAGAATGTAGTTACACCTGGAGTAAATTCACAAGGCTGTGTAAAGAATAGAGTCAAGAAAACTGTGAACGGTACCTTTCTCAATATTGACCTCGCCTTACTTTTGCTGAGTTCCGCTGCTCTGTATTGGACCCTTTAATGCACCAAACCCTCATAGCATAGCCTGCATAAATGTGTTGTGGTATTTCATACTCCTGTGAGTGTGAATTGCAATATTGGGACTTTACATAAGATATTCTATGAGCCAAGTCTCACTATTTTTTTTAAATTATGAAGATAAATATTATATTTAAAAAAAAATCTTCTTCCTGCGAATGATCTATAAGGCAACATTTTATGTATTGTTAAAGTCAGAACTTTGGGATGTTATTGGGGGGGGGGGACTCAGCAACAACAGCAGCAGGGATGATATGAAGAGCGATTTCATCAAGATACATTTCAGAGTTTCACGGTCACCAGACTGAACAGACTGGAACACATTGTTGTGCAATAACACTTCTTATAAAACATGATTTTACAATGATTTTTTTTAGCTGCTTTGCATATTACTAGCAACACTTGTAAAATAACACTGTTTTATAATATACATATTTATAATTTCCGTTTTATGTTTTATTCTATATGAATTATATCGCATTTTTTTAACTCATGTAATGCCTGTTAACATTCTGCTTTGATAATATAATGAATGGTGTAGTAAATATATCTTATCTAATGTAATATGTTATTATGGCTGCTACGTCATTAAGGTTCATTTACTTTTACAATGTTGTTGTTGTTATAATCTTTTTATTTTATTTTCGTATATTATATTTTTAACTCAAGGAAAATAACATGCTGCACTACCAATATAAGTGGGATAAATATTGTATATAACAGTTATTACTGGCTTTTACGTCGTTGCTTGTATATATTTACTTATTTTTATGATGCTTGTGCTTTGCTTTTCTACCACGGATGTGTTCTTATCTTATTTTCGTTTTATTAGCATGTGCTTACCTATTTATTATTATAGTAAAAACATACAGTAAACATCAATACATTCTCTTTTATCAGTTCATCATTAGCCGTTCCATGTTGCGCTGCAATTCAGTCTTTCCCCAGCAGGTGGCAGCATTTCCTTTGGAGCGCCAGTTGCATAATGACAGACCCTACAATGGAACCAGGAATGTGCAAAAGGAAATGAATCATTAAAATAATTCCACATGGTAAAACAAGAAGCATTATTAATCACAAATTCTGTTTCCAATTTTCCCACTATTCACCGATATTTAATACATGTAGAAGACTCAGAACCCTACGAGGCTAATTGTTTATCTTTGTAATTGCTGTTTATTTACAAATGTGTACTAATGTTTGTCATTGTAAATGATCTTCAAATCAATGAGATGTGCAACATGTCAGCACATTGCATGTTGATATTCAATTCAAATAGTTTAGAGTATATTTGGATTATAACTTTGCTTGGAATCTGCTTATTTCAAGACATTTGCCACTTTTCTAGCATCCAGATGTTTTTTTATAATTCTACGAATAAAAGTTCTGATTATATTTTTACTTCAATTAAGAAAAGTACGAATGGTTATATTTGGCAAATTAATCTTAAGGGTTTTTTTCCCCTGCTTATTTCAAGACAAATGTGTCACTTTTCTATAGAATCCAAATATATTCTTATTCCAATAAATCTTACTAAGTCCATTTATCTCAAGGCACTGGCTCTTGTTTGAAATCTTTATCTACTCAAATCTTTTGTTCTTGTTTAAAGATGCTCTTTGCAGTGTATTGACTGACCAGCAGAGTGTGTGAAGGTCTTCACTCTGCTGTCAGAGCACACACAATCCACAGTCAGACCTCCAGGCAGGAAGTGGAGCGATCAGTCAGAGGATCTGGGAAGCTGTCAGGAAACCAATCAGAAAATAAGTTGATGAATCAATTGCTGCGGTCTGAATCATGTGATTTAAAGAGCTCAGATTTGTTTGCTGAAGATCAAAATGGATCCTGAAAGTGAGCCTGAGGGCTGAATGAGAATCAGCATTTATGATGCCCCCCTCTGTCTCACTGATCCAACACAGAAAAAAGGACTTGAATATGTTCTTAAATGTAAATTCAGGAAATCGGCGATAATAACAATCATAAAATAAACTAGTTTGGTCATACAAAGTATATTCAGATGCAGCAGTTATGTTAAAAATATTTGCAGTGGATGTGTAGTTTTTTGATGATGGGGTGCCCTGGGGCAGAGCACACCTTAAGCCTGAATGCAGATGGGAAAGAAATACTCCATACTAGAAAAAGTAAAAACTGTAAAATACTCTGTCACAACTAAAAGTCATGCATTCAAATTCTTAACCAAGTAAAATACAAAAGTGCTGCCATCCTTTTAGACTTAAAATACCGAAAGTAAAAGTACTTGTTACGTGTTGTGGCCCATTTCAGAATCATATATCTTAAATCAACGGAATATGTTTGCATGACGACTGATGCATCAAAGTGTTCATCACAGCTGCTCGTTTAACTACTGTGTATACTGCTGCAGGACGTCCTAACCTCAATGTCATAGTTCCTTTATTAGTCTATTTATATTTTAGTTTTATCTTATAATCTGTATCCAGTGTCAGAAAGTGTATTCAGATTCTTTACTTGAGTACAATTAATAATAATACACTCTAAAAATAATACACTCTAAAAATACTCAATTTAAGTACTGCATCCAGAATGGTAATAAAATCAAAAGTTAAATAAGTACGATTAGGAAAATGTTCTCGAAGTATTAGAAGTAAAATTATTCATTTAAAAACTATTTTTAAATATTGGAAAGCAAAAGCATCAAGTCTTCAGAATCCGGAACTGTGTAATATTTTTGAACAAAAACCTTCCCAACAATATTTCTACCAAATAATTTTCTGTTCCAATTAAATGAATTGTGTGTCAAAATATATATTTATAAGGTAACCAGTAAATACAACAGTTAAAACAAATGTATTCAAATACAAAGTACCAGTTTGGATTCCAAAATGTAGGACAGTAAAATAGCAGTATAAAATGAAAATACTCAAATAAAGTACAAGTACCTCAAATGTGTACTTAGGTACAGTACTGGAGTAAACTTTCCACCACTGTGTGAATCCTAATGCGTGGTAAGAAATATTGGCTTTCAAATGTGGAAGAGGAGAAATAAAATTAGGATAAAAATACTCATGTACAGTACTTGATTCAATCTACTTGATACATTGGACCACTGCCTGAATAAAAAGAGAAATATAATACGACTTACTTAAATGCATCCTCTCTGTGCTCCGCCCAGGTTTGATGTTTCCCTCCCAGGTTTCAGAGACAGGCTCCCAGGCTGCAGATGGACACTGTACACTTAATGTGACTGAGGCCATTTTCTTTTTTATTAACTAAGGGCTTGCGGCAATTACATGTCTCTGAATCTGGCTGACAAAGCATCATCCATTACCTCCGCCCCCTCTGCAGCGGACCATTGTCCTGCCACTAGAAGGGATGGAGCTGTGATCATTCTGCGAGTGTCATAATGGCTTCATGTTCAAATGAGTTGGCTCAGCCTCTATGGAATACCAGTTAGGATCTTCCCCCAAGCATACTGAAATCATTAGTTTTCATTATTTTAAAGGTACCTAGAGTGCAACTACTTAATTGGTAAATCTTAATATCCAATTACACATCTTTATGATAAGGGTATTTTATATACTGTACAGGGGAATTACATGTAACAGGATTACGTAACCAGGATACGAAAAAAAACTGTATTCCCATACAGTTACATTGAGGAAAGATGTAATCAGATTACTGTTGAATAAAAGAAAATTGGATTTACGAGCAGGATAAAAATGTATCAACAAAGATCAATATTTGGACGTACTGCCTGAATTTTCCATGTTGGTTTTCATTTAGGCTGCTTCCTTCTTCTTTTTTTAAATATATTTTTTAATGCAGTAGGTTGACACCTGATTTGATCAAACTAAAACACTGTTTAGGTCTAGCCTACTGTAAGTGGAGCCTTAATTGACACATTTTTTATAATAAATATCTTGGTTTCTTGTTTAAGGTTACATTGTTCTGTTGTCTTACATAATACACTCTTATTTATTTGCATTGCGTTTGATGTCAATATAATCAAAAAGTTACGGAAAGTAATCAGGTTACATTTCTCTTATATTTCTATGCTCAGAGTAACTACACTTTAAATACTTTAATTAAATGTATTATGTCAACAAATTTCACAAAACTGTATTAGGTTAGTTGAAAGTAATAATCTTAAATTGAACCTAATATTTTGTATTTAAACTTAATATTATTGCTTTCAACTCACATAATACAGTTATGTGAAATCTGTTGACAGAATACACTTAATTCAAGTCAATGTTTCAGATTTTTCAGTGTAGTCAT